TTCAATTAAATAAATAGATAAATATGGTGGCCACTAAAACCATACACAAGGATCCCTGTGGGCTGCATAGTAACTATTTTAAAATGTAATATTATCTAGTTTTATTGTATTTTACTTTTTTGTGTTTTTGTATATTTTATATTTTTATTTATTATATTTGTATTTTTGCTTATTTTGTTCATATTTCCCAGTTACATTTTAATCTGTCTCAAGCAGCCCTTGAGAATGTGGGTGTTATGGGTAACTGGGGCTCATGCTTAATACCTCAGGGTGGACACTCTCTGAACCAGTGAAGACTAGAATTTTATTTGCCGCTTGGAGTCCGGGAGAGCTGAAATCTTCTCCATGGAGATCATAGAATCATGAGATTTTACAGCTGGAGGGGGTTTTGGAGATGAGGATGACTTCTCTCTGTGTATTCAGCTGGACCCTTTTGCGAGGGGAATGCTGGGGTGGGACAGGGAGAATCACCCAACACCTGCTTTGTAGATGAACCTTGTGGTGTTGAGCTGTTCTGGTGTGGAGTTGTGACATTCTGGGGAATTTGGTTTCCGCCCAGCTCTCTCTGACTGTGGTTCACACCAAGCTGGGTTAGAACAGGGTTCTCTCGTGCCTGATTTCTCACCTGTGATTTCCCTGTCAGAGTGAATGCTGACTCCCTTGAAGGCTTCTGAATGCTTGGTGAAAATGGATGTAGAATGGTTCTTGGGTGAAGTCATCAGCCCCTAACCACAGCTGTGAACTTCTCACTGATGGACCAGGTCCTATCCTTGCCTTTCCAGGGGAAAGGCACAGAGCTGCAGCCTCGGTTACTCATTAATCAACTCATACTTCAGTGTTCCTAGGAGCACCCTACTGGCTTGGAAAAATTAAAGATGTTCTTAGACAAAACAATCAGGGAAAATATCCATGGTTCCAAGGAACAGGGCAGAAATTTCTGCCAGCAGTGGGGTAATTGCTTCTCCTTCCTCATGGAAAGATGTAGATTACTATCCAAGCCACTGAGAAAATGCTCAATTTCCCTCTTGCAGTTCTATAATTCAACAAATATTTCTTTTTTTTAAATTTTTAAATAATGTTTTGTTTTAATTTTTGTTTTTATATCACCTATATTTTCCATTTTTGTTGTTCAGTCATGTCCAACTCATCATGACCCCACTTGGGGTTTTCTTGGCAGAGATACTGGAGTTGTTTGCCATTCCCTTCTCCAGCTCATTTGACAGAGGAGGAAACTGAGGCAAATAGGGTTAGGTGACTTGCCCAGGGTCACACAGCTAGTAAGTGTCTGAGGCCAGATTTGAACTTAGGAAGATTTGGCACTCTATGCACCATGGTGCCACCTAGCTGCCCTTATCCTTCCCCCTGTTACCTCCTAACAAGCCTTCTCTTATAGTAAAGAATTTTTTTACAAGTGGAAGAAAAAAAAGCCAACATGTTGAAAAGAGTTTAATGTTGCATGCAGAGTTCCACACCCACACCTTTACAAAGAAGTAGAGGGAGGAGCCTTCTCCCATCTCTTCTCCAGGCAAGGCTTGGCCTAATAATTTCACAGCAATTAGTTTCATTTGTTTGATGGTGATTCTTTCCAGTTACTCTGTCCTAGTCACTGTGTGTATTATCTTCTTGGCTCTGCTTGAGTTGCTGTGCATCAGTTCATAGAAATCTTCCTGTGCTTCTCTGAGTCATCATGCTCATCCTTTCTTAAAGCCCAGTAACATTTCATTGTGTTCATGTCCCACAACTTTCCTAGCTTTTTCTCATCTGCTGATCAAGAAGCATTTATTGAGCACCAACTGTATATCAAGTCTTGCTCTAGGTATTACAAAGACAAAAATGAAAATGGCCCCTACATTTTAGGAGTGTTTGAGGGTGGGGATAACATGTGAACAGAGAAGTAAATACGCAGTAGATGATGGGGATTGGACTTGTGATTTCACCAGTGTAGGGAACTCCCAGGTGAAGGATGTCCCTCTTCCAGTGCAGATTGGAAACTTCTTTGTACTTTACAATCTTAGAGAACTGCTTAGGGTATTTTGAGGTGACTTGCCCAGGGACACCCAGACAGCATGTGTCAGATCTTCTTGATCCTGTGGCCAGTTCTCGGTCCAATACTATATTTAAACAATCGCAGTAAAGTAAACGCAGAGTGATTCAGGGGTGGGAAAGCACTCATGACTGCAGGGGAGGATGGGAAAAGACCCTCTGCGGGAGGTGACCTTGAAGACCAAATAGAATGTCAGTGGGCGTCTGCCATTGTATTGGGATCGTGCACTCCAAGTACCAGAAATTGTACCATGCAAAGACATGGTGGCTGGAAAATGGGCAATGTGTTCAGGGGGTGGCAAGTACACCAGTTTCAGGCAAAAGTGTTTTTTTGATTGATTGCTTCCAGTCTCTTTGTGGATATAGACCAGCCTTAGCTTGAGGGGGCAGGGCACAGAAATGGGGCTGGCTAAAGTCAAAGGCAAATTTGCCCATGACTAAATGAGTGTTTGGAAGCTTAGTTATCTTGGAAAACTAACTTTTAAAATAAGTTTTTATTGACATTTTTTGGTTTGGTTTCATGGGTGTTGCCCACTTACCGTGGCCTGGTGGGTCTTCCCACTCTATCCCAATTACCATGTCCCAGTGGGTCTTCCTGTGTAATTTTGAAAACTACTTAATGATTGAATGCTCTTAAGTGTAACTATCCCAGAGCTGTGCAGCCTCGGGGGCCTGAAATTAAAATCTGAGCACAGTTGGAGCTCAGATGTCTGCCCGGAGATGAAAGTCCAAGACACACATTCTTAGAAGTCCAGAGTAGCCAGCTTCCTGGCTAGCTGACCTGGCTTCCTTGCAAATGGGACAGATATTGCAGGCCAACGAAGGACCTTTCAAAAGGCCCTTCCAATAAAGGGGATAGAGAAGAAGGGATCAGAAGCACTCCCCTGAGGACAAGCCCCCTGCCCCCCCCATCTCTGGGAGAATTACCTTGACCTAGAGGTGACCTGATGAATGGAATGATGAATCATTGCCCAATCTCTTGCCATCTTAGCATCTCTCTGTTCCTTGTCATTATTCTCCAGGCTCTCACCCTCTTCCCCTGACCACCAAAGCAGCCCAGGGTTGTCTGAACTCAGCAAAGGTGGACTGGCCCCCAAAGCTCACACAAAAAGCCACATGAAGGGATTCCTGTGCTGTGACAGGAGATGGATAAGGCTCTGGGGCCTAGCAGGGAAGAACTATGTGAATCATGAAAGTTGTTAACCAGGGTTTGTGAAAAAAGGTGGGGGGAGTGAATGGGCAATGATCCCTAATTCTGTGGTTAATGTAAGGAAGGTGGGACTTTCTGGCAGAGATCAGCGGAGCTCCATTCCCTAGGACCCAGAGACTGGAAGGCTAGGTTTCTACCCCGAGGAGGTCAATTGCCAAAAGAAAGGATCCAGAGACGTAAGAATATTTATGGCAGCCTTTTTAGTAGGAACAAAGAGCTGGAAACAAAGCGGATGTCCACTGGCTGAGGAATGGTTAAGCAGACCGTGCTACCTAAATGCACTGGAATATTGTAGTTTCAGGAACAAAGGGTATGATACATGTGGAGGAGCTTGGGAAAACTTATATGAACCGATTCGTTCACCTTCTTCACTGTCTTCCTGGCTCAAACCTCTGCTCAAATCCCACCTTCTGCAGAAAGCCTTTCTTAGTCCCTCAACCTGCTAGTGCCTCCCCCACCACCCAGATCACCTCTCATTTACACTAAATATAACTTCTGTATAGATGTCGACTCTCACCTTAGAATGTAAGCTCCTAGAGGGCAGGGAACTTTTTTTGGGTTTTGTTTTTCACCTTTGTATTTTCAGCATTTGTACAGTACCTGGTACCTAGTAGGAGCTTAATAAATGTTTGTTGACCAGCTAGCTAAGTAGAACGAGGGATATGATATTTATAACAGTTCTGTAAATGGAGTGAACAACAACCCCAAACTCAAAACCAAATGCCATGAAATTATAACAGAGATAATGAGAAAGTACCTCCCCCTGCTTCTTTGCAGAGATAGGGTGCTATGGATGTGGAACACTGCACACCGCCAGAGGTTTTTGATGTGTGGATTGGTTTCAATTAGCCGCTTTATTTTCCTCTTTTATGATTCTTTTTGCTATAAGGGATTGCCCTCTGGGTAGAGAGAGGGGAAGGATAGCTAGAGAAATGTAGGCATTTTCAAAAAATATCCACAAAATAGATTTTTAATAAAAAGGAAAAAAAAAGGGAGTGTTCCAGTGTCTTGTGCAATGATAGGTCATAAAATTGTAGATTTAGAGCTGAAAGGAATCTCAGAAGCCAGCCTCAGACTATGTGATCTTGGGCAAGTCATTTAACTTCTGTTTGCCTCAGTTTCTTCAAATGTAAAATGGGATAATGATAGCATATACCACCCAGGGCTGTTGTGAAGATCAAATGAGGTATTTGTGAATTGCTTAGCACAATACCTAGTACACAGGAGGCACTTAATAAATATGTGTTCTCTCATTTGGGTTTCTGCTCTCTCTCTCTCTCTCTCTCTCTCTGTGTGTGTGTGTATGTGTGTTTCTGTCTCTCTGTCTCTCTCTCTGTCTCTGTCTCTCTCTCTCACCAAAACATTTTCAGAAATTCCTCTCACCTCTACATGCTTCAGTTCTTATCAGATGGATCTATAATCTCATCAAGGGGAGGATGCCATTCCCTCCAACAGTGTAGATTGCGATCCTTCCTGCCCTCTGCTCTTGTGGGAGTTTCCCTGTGCTGCACTCTTGATGCACATGGGCTCTTTATTGGTCAGACCTTATTCTCACTCCATGATGGTACCATCACCATTTTTGATCCTACATCTTTTAGATAAAATCCTACACCCTGTTTTCCTCAAGAAATTATTTTTTTAAAAGATGTTGCAGCCTATTCACAATCTACAGATGTCTCTCTGCAAAATTGTAAAAAGAAAAAATAAGAGAAATGCTTCTGATCCCTGGCTTTCTTCTTACCTGTAGGTAGAAGCTGTGCTCTTAATGGAAGACCACTTAGATATGGAGTCAGACAGTCTTGCTCGAAATCTCACCTCAGCCCTTATGAGCTATGTGACCTTGGACAGGTCAACTTACTTCTCTGAGAAGATTTCCTCACCTGCAAAATGGGGACAATGCTACCTGTTGTACCAACCTCACGGGGTTGGTGCGAGGACAAAATGAGATAGTGTGGAAAATGCATTGTAAACTAAAAAGCCGCATATAAATGTTAACTATTATTATTAACACCTTGTAATTTATTCCTTCATCAACTGTGTGACTATGGTTCCTTTGATCACCATTTTCCTCTCCTCAGATGACTTTTCTCTTTCCCTCCTGTTGGATTTCATTTTATCTCCATCAGCCCTGTTGTCTCTGAGATACTTCATTAACTCTTCCTTCCCTGGACTCTTTCTTTGACTTCTGATGTCTCAGATTCTTCCTCAGGCAGTGTAGTTAGTAAGAACTGGACTGGAATCTTACGTCCATCACTTACTGGCAGTCTGACCCTGGGCAAGTCACTTAATGTCCCCAGGCCTCAGTTTCCTTATCTGTAAAATGCTGAGCTAATTCTCAGGTCCCTTTCATCTCTAAATCTATGATTCCCTTGGCCAATTCCATTGCTTCCACTTTTTCTAGTTTATCTGGGCTCCTTCTTCATTAAAACTTTCCATTCAAAGATGTTGCATTTTCTGCTTCCTCATTTAGCCAGGTGTTTCCTAGTTATTAAAAGGGTAGCGAGGAGCCAGTCATTTCAAAGTCCACTTCTGACACATATTGGCTGTGTTACCTTGGATAAGTAACTTGATCTCTCCAAGTTAATCCTCTAAGACAATAAATGACCGAGAAAGTGAAGACCTGCATTGGTAGTAATAATGAAAATGCTGATAGCTAGCATTTATATAGTACTTTAAGGTTTGTGAAACTCTCTACATGTTTGATCTTCATAATAACCTTGTGAGATAGATGCTTTTATTAGCACCATTTTATAGTTGAAGAAACTGGGACTGAAAAGACAACATGACTTGCCCAGGGTCACACAGCTTAGTAAACATCTACAGCAGGATTTGAACTCAGGTTTTTCTGACTCCCAATTCAGTATCCACTCTACCACCCAGCTGACTCTTGTAGGGGGGATTTCTCATCTGAAAGTTCCCTATTTCTATGAAAGCACAAGGTCCAATCCCTACTGCCATGTCTATAATATCATAGTGTATACCAGCTTGCTATATTTCCTAATCAATTTCACAAATATTTGTTAGGCACTTACAAGTTAGGTACTGTGCTGATGGTTAGGGATTAAAAATTAACACCACTCCCCCTCCAACATTCCTCATCTTCAGGAAGCTTGTATTCTATTAGGTAGGAAGCTACCACAGAAGTAAAGACTACGTAATCTCAGTAGGGAGGGAATGCTAATTACTGGGTAGATCAGGGAGTGGTACCTGAGCTGTGCTTAGAGGGAAGTCAAGGAGTCTACAAGATGGAGGTGAGGAGAGACGAAGGATGCTTTGAGATGTAGGTGATTCCAGACGTGGTGCCAGCCTGCACGAAGGAAGGCAGATGGGGCATGGGATGTCATGTGTGGAGAATAGAAAGGAGGCCAGATGGCTTGGAACATAGAGTGTGTGCCTGGTACAAAGTGGTGCAGACTAAATGCTTCTTGAATGAATGCATGCATGCATGATCTAATGGCTGATTGAGCTGGGGCACAAACTTTGGGTTTATAGTCAAAAAATTACAAGCCCTGAAAGTTATCATGCCATTTCTTAAGGAGAGTCTCTCTCTGTCTCTCTTTCTCTCTCTCTCTCTCTCTCTCTCTCTCTCTCTCTCTCTCTCTCTTTCTCTCTCTCTCTCTCCTCTCTAACTCTCTCTCTCTGTCTCTCTCTTTCTCTGTCTCACTCTCTCTCTCTTCTCTTTGTCTCTGTCTGACTCTCAGTCTCTCTGCCTCCCTTTCCCCCTCTCTCTTTCCCTTTCTCTTTTGTTTTTTTTCTTCTGTATCACCAACAGTAGCATGAGACATCAAGTTCAGTTGCTGGTGAACATACTCCACCCTCTGTTCTTTTTGTCATTCCCTAAATTGGACTCTGTCGGATTACCTGGATAAGGAATACAAAAATGGATCGGGGAGGCAAAAGTAATTTGTCCCAAGTCTGACCCAATGTCCTTGGCAGAGCTAGGAATTCAAGTCACCTGACTCTTTCCTATGCTCCTAATAGAAAGACCATGTGGGTGGGAGCAGATCACTTGGACCTATCCTTTTTCAGGCGTCTTCTTCAGTGGACACATTTCACTCATGCTCAGCTGTCTACAGAGGTTACACAGTTGCTTCTGAAGACATTTCAAAGCCATCTTTGGTTTGGATTCTAGCTATCTGGTTATAGATATCCTTGAGATGATTTCTCTTCCAGTTCAGTCAGTGGAATTTGACATCTGCCAGAGAGAAACTATGTGCCCTTGCCATGTGGGTTTCTGTGGATACCTTTCACAATGTATGTTTTCCATGTGTATTTCCCAGTCATGTATGTTCTTTACATGTGTGCCCTTTCCTACTTGTATTGTGGAAAGAGTATGCCCCATTTGTGAATCTTTTCTGTCACTCAGTTTGCTATGTTGTTTGACTAGCTGTCTTTCTCATTGAACTAATGTGTCTTTTGGACTAATGAGGCTGAACGCATTGGTCGGGGCTTATGAGCTATGCTTTTAAGAGGACGCTGAGCAAAGAATCTTGAACCTGGGCATCTTCCTGGGGACCTACTTATGAGGGCAGCCTCAGGTGCTGTCTTACCCTGAACAATGTATATTCCCTATCCACTTGGTTATCAATGTATGCATTGTTATGATTATGGATCTCACTGAGGAAGCCCTGGAGGAGGAGGAGCTCAGTGCAATACATATAATCCATAACTAGGAGCTTCTGGAGATCCTCATGGTGTGCAGACAGTCCTTCTTCCATCTGGATTGTCTGCAGAACCTTCTTCATGACTGGTCAGTACAGCCCGGTGTAGTGGATAAGAATGCTGGACTTGGAATTAGGAAGACCTGGGTTCAAATCCTGCCTCAGACATTTATTTACTAATTGCTTAAGTCATTTAACGTCTTTGAGCCTCAGTTTCTTCATCTGTAAATTGAAGGGGTTGGGCTCAATGACTTGTAAAGTTTCTTCTGGTTCTAAACGGATCATTTAGAGACCATAGGTCTCACCTCTTCATGCCCCTCATCACAAATTGCCTGAACTACTGGGATCTTCTCCTAATTGTTCTCCCCTCTCCAGTCCCCCCTCCACGCAGCTGCCAGTAATACTGGTTAAGCACAGCTCTGACCACATTACTCTCCTGCTCAAATTCTGTAATGGCTCCCTCATGCTTTTTGGATAAAGGAAGGAAAGAAAAACACATTTATTAAGCGCCCGCTACGTGCCAGCCACCATAGTAAGCGCTTTATTGTCTCATTTGATCCTCACAACAATCCTGCCAGGTAGGTGCTATTATTATCCCCATTTTATGGATGAGGAAACTGAGGCAAACAGTAACGTGCTTAGAGTCACACCTCCATGAAGTGTCTGAAGGTGGATTTGAATTCAAGTTTTCCTGACTCTAGGTTCAGCTCTCTGTCCGTTGTGCCATCTAGTTGTCTATAAATGCCTTTGCTTGGCATTTAAAATCCTTTTCAGTGGGGCTCCCCCTTTCCTTTCCAGGCTTAGCATGAATTATTCCCATTCATGTACTCTATGAACCAGCCAGAATGGCCTACGACCTGTTCCTTGGACGCGGCATTCCATCTCCTACCTATGCGGGACATGGCTGTTTCCTGGGCCTGGAATATGCTCCCTTCTCAGTTCCATCTTGCAGAGTCCCTATATTCCCTGTCTAAACTAGTTCAAACATCACTTTTCCTGACCCCCCCCCCCTCCAGGCTTCCAACATTTCCTTGGAAATTATTTTATTTTTCTTTATATGTATATATCTTGTTTTCCTTGACAGAATGTAAGCCCCTTGAGGACAGGAACTGTTTTGTCTGTGTTTTTTGGTATCCCCAGCACCTGACATAGAGCCTGGCACATTAATAAATGTGGCTCTTAATAAACACTTATTGAATGCTGGGTATTGATACTCAGAATATATTTTTTTTTCAGCCAAAGACAAGGTTTATTAGAACATCCATCATATTGGGCAGACTCTTAAGGAGTCTGAACATTAGTAAGCTATTGGGTAGATTTTAAGAATCTGAGCAGTGGCTAGGTTCTAAGACTCTGAGCAGTGGCTAGGTTCTAAGACTCTGAGCAGTGGCTAGGTTCTAAGACTCTGAGCAGTGGCTAGGTTCTAAGACTCTGAGCAATGGCTAGGTTCTAAGAATCTGAGCAGTGGCTAGATTATAAGAATCCCAGCATCTTAATGGAGACAAAATGGACCTTATATACAGAAAGGCTGTGGGAGGGATCTAGGAGTAGATCTGATACTCAGAATATAATTGAACAGAATAATCTCTATGACAAGAAGCACATCAATTTATCTCTCTAGTTTCTCTCAAATGCCGTGAAGTAAAATCATCTCTTTGATTTCTATAAGTAGGATCCAAACCAAAGATGGTTTTGAAATCAAGGACTCTTGTATGGAGATGTATGTGTGTGTGTGTGTTTATGGAGAGAGAGAGAGAGAGAGAGAGAGAGAGAGAGAGAGAGAGAGAGAGAGAGAGAGAGAGAGAGAGAGAATGAGTGAGCTGGAAAAGACGTTAGAGGCCACCTAATCTAATGCCTTCATTTAAAGTCGGATTAGGAAACTAAGACCCAGCAAGGTTACATTATTTGCCCAAGGTCACGAAGGTGGTTTGAGGCACTTTGCTAAGGCTTTTTAACCCCGACTTTTGCTGGACCACATCAAACACTTTCTTGTGAACAGTCAAGGGAACAGGGCAGATCTCAGATCCCTGAGGCCTCTCAGGCCCTTGCGTGACCAAACACGAGGTCTGCTACAAGGGATGTTCTCGACAGCTTGCCTTTCCATTCTCATGTCTTCATCATGAACACCTTTGATGCATACATGTTTCTCTCAGGAAAGATTTCATAGAGATGAGAGAGCTGGCATATAATGTCTTCCTAGTCCCCCTCATTGGGGTAGCCTCTCCATTCTCTTGGAATTTCCCCTTTTTGGGCTACCCTGCTAATCGCTCCCCCTTGTGCCTTTAATGTTGTGCTTCTTCTGAAAGGACCTATTTGTACAAAAATATTTCTAGCAGTTCTTTTTGTGGTGGCTAGGAATTGGACATCAAAGGGATGCCCATCAATTGGGGAATGGCTAAACGAGCTATGGTATATGATTTAATGGAATATTATTGTGCTATAAGAAATGACAAGCAGGATGATTTCAGAAACACCTGGAAAGACTTACATGAATTGATGCAAAGTGAAGCAAGCAGAACCAGGAGAACATTGCACATGGTAATAGCAACATTGTCTGATGAAGAATTGTGAATGACTTCCCTATTCTCAGAAATACAATCATCCCAGAAAATCCCAAAGGACTCATGATAAAGCATGCTATCCGCCTCCAGAGAAAGAACTGATATTGTCTGAATACAGACTGAAGCATGCTATTTTTCACTTTCTCTCTTTCACTCTTTTTCTTTTATTTGAGTCTTCTTGTACAAAATGACTAACATGGAAATGTTTTACATGATTGTACATGTCTAACCTATATCTGATTGCTTACTGTCTCAGGGAGGAGGAGGGAGGGATAGAATTTGGAACTCAAAACTTTAAAAAAAAAACATCAAATGTTAAAAAAAATTGTTTTAACATGTAATTGGGAGAAAAAATAAAATATGTTTTAAAAAATCATTGTGCCCTTTCTATTCTAGGCAAACCAGCCCTTTCGTTACCAGCCAAAATTAGGTCATTGTTCCAAGACTGGATCCTGTCCACCAGCTATATTATTGTAAAACCATGAGCTCATCGCCGGGCCAGCCTACCCATGACAATGGAAGGCCAGGCTCTGAATGTTCATTGTGTTCTGGCTGATGGAACCTTGAATGGCACATTCACTAACTCAGCGGAACCGAGGTGGCCTGGCACACTTTGCCCATAACCAAAGAGGCTGTTTTTCTTTCCTTCCTGCTGAGAATGCTGTATGTGGCTGACACTCCAGTAGCCCAGATGAGTCACAGCTGTAAAATCTGCCAAGCCCCGGCAGACAGGAAGGTGTTACAGAAATATAAATTATTGTTATTGTCTCCCAGCCAGCGTCGCTCCTGCTACTTATGCCACTTTCGCCGGCTCATTTGTGCCTTTATCAACACTCAACCCGAAGGGATGGTTTTATCATCCCCAGTCAGAGACAAGCTGTGACCACATTCTCGGGTCTTAGCAGGAAAAGCTGAGTGTGGGTGCCACAGAGGGAGCTAAGAGCAGGTTTGGGAAGTGTAAAGTCCGGAGGCTGTTTAACCTGGACTACAAAACCCAGGATGGGTGGATGGTGCAGCACTCGGTTTCTCCGTTCATTTGCATTTGTAGCTGCTGTCATCCTGTTGACCCATCAAACTTAAAGTCAACAGAAACACACCAGTCATAAGTGCTTAATAAATGAAATAAAATTAATTGAAAAATGAATGTGAAGAATGTGGCAAAAAAGGGGAAATTACTAGTTATTTTTTTTTCCATGACCTGCTCTCTAGCTATGTCTCCTCCATTTTGTGCTTGGCCGTTTTGTTTTTCAATGGTATGCTTCTGTTGGCTAAATTTCCTCTTGCTCATGTTGTCTCAGTCTTCATCTCTGTATCCTTTTGGACGCTGGCTCTGTCATACGATGCATTAGCTATCCTTGACCACTTTGTGTCAATAAGAGGTGGGCATGCACGCAGTCTCTGACTTCATCAAAGTCATTGATAAAAATATTGGATGGAGACCTCCTCTCATAGCATCATAGACCCTAGAAGGGACCTTAGATACCATCTAGTTCAACTCTCTTGTTTTATAGATGAGGAGACTGAGGCACAGACAGGTGAGGTGACTTGGCTTAGGTCATACGAGATAGTAAGACAGTGTGAGGGTGTCTAGTTCAGTAATTTCAGTGTGTCTGACTCTTCCTGACAAAAATATTGAAGTGGTTTGTTGTTCCCGTCTCCAGTTCATTTTGCAGATGAGGAAATTGATGCAAACACGGTTGAATGACATACCCAGGGACACACAGCTGTTACATGTCTGAGGCTGGATTTGAACTTAGGACTTTCTGACTCTAGACCCAGCGCTCTATCCACTGAGCCACCTAGCTGCCCTGTGGCTTATAGGATCATAGATTTAGAACAAGAAAGCACCTTAAGAGTCAACTGCTTCAGTTTACAAATGAGGAAATCAAAGCCTAGTTAAGTGACTTGCCCAAGGTCATATAGTTTGTCAGTGGTAGAGCTCAGATTTAATCCCATCCAGTGTATCACATCATGTCTTGAGGAGTAATGTTTCAGGGCCTCAAGATCTGGATAATTGCTTGGCTCCATTTCACTGGTGGGAATGGTCCCCAACCTGAACCCTGGTCCTATTTCCTGCCCGACTTGTCAGATTCTGAGAAAGGATAGAGAAGTCTCCTACTGCCCTGGTAGGTCACTCTATTTCTACCTTGACTTGTTGAAAAAAGAAAGGAAAGAGCTCAGGTATGGTGGTCCTCTATCACTTATTGGCTGTATGGTCATGGCCAAGTCATATAGACTCTCTAAGCCTGAGTTTCCTCATTCATAAAATGGGTCACTTATCCTTTAACTGCCTATCTCATGGGAAAGTTCTCCATAAATCTATATCCCCCAAATGTTCATGAATTGGAAGCTGTGACTGTTCTACTCTTGTACAGTGCCCAGCACAGAGTAGGCCTCTTATTTATTTCCTTGTCTTCTACCTTCCACCTGACATAGGACCATGGATTTAAAGCTGGAAGGGACCTTAGAGGCCACTGGATCAGACCCCCCCCATTTTACAGGGGAGGAGTGTAAATGACTTGTCCAGGGCTGCATGTCTTGTAAATGTCTGAGGTAGGATTTGAATCCAGGCCTTCCCACGTGGCTCTGTTTTCACAGGATAGTCACAGCTTCTAAGAGTGACTCCTAAAGACTCTTGTCTCCCTCTCTCCCTTGCTGCCTGCTCCATTTCCTGAGTTTGCTGGACACAGGAGCTCTGTAGGATCACATGGGCAAGGGCTGACCTAACCCAGTGGAAGCTGGGCTCCCTTGGAAGGCTCTGGAGGAAGCCTGACCTTGAGAGATTTCCAGTCCAATTTCTGTAGACTCTGAAGGATCAGATAACCCCAGGTTAAGCAATTAGAGGCTTACCCAGATGGAGACTCTGAACTGTGCAACTCTTCATTCATCTGCATTTTCCTCTCCTTGGCATTATGTCTCAGTTGGGTGGATTAACTGAATTCATTAAAAAAAAATGTAGCTATAATAATGGAGAGAATAACGTTCTTCATACTAATTCCCGAACTGCAAATTCAGACTCAAAATATTTCTGAGAATTCCACAAATTAACCGTATTGGAGCTGGATTACCCTCACGGACTAAGCTATTGGCCACCACTGCCTGGACATGACCTTGATCCATAAAGCTTCGAGAATGGCATTTTCACTAGGTGTTGCCATGCCAGAGACTCATAAACTCCAAACGGTATGGAATGAGAAACATTCAAAACATAGAGACCCAGCCGAGGAAATCAAATACATGTGGCAGCAGGCATCTCATCCGAAGGCATCCCCTCCCTCTAGTCGCCTACTGAACTCATCCCGAAGGTGGCTTCAGTGAGTCTGCGGAAGAGGGGCTGACATCCCAGTGCTCTTATTCAGGTCCCAAAAGAAGACATTTTATCCGTCAACTACAAAAGGATAGCACACTCATGATAACTAGCATTTATATAGGGCTTTAAGGTTAGTAACTCATTTGAGCCTCACAGCAATCCTGGGAGACAGATGCGATTATTATCCCCCTTTTGCAGATGAGGAAATGGAAGAAAGAGGAAGTGACTTGCCCAAAGTTACCTCACAAAGGACAAAGAGAAGAGTTAAGCTGGGTAAGACTGGTTGTATCCGAGAAGCACAGCTGAGATGTTCTTGGTTTTCAAAGGGTCTTCCCTTGTCTTTGTGTTTGGGTACTCTGCAAGTGCAGCCAGATGCACACACGGTACGTATCTATTCCTTCCCTCCTCCCAAAGTTGGTTCTTGCATCTATAGCCACACTAACATGGGGGCTAGAAAGGGGACTGTTAGAACCAGTGTGGTACAGTGAAAAGAACAAGGACTTTGGGGCTGGAGATCCTGGATTCAGATCCCACTTCTGATATTGCTACTTGTGTAACCTTCGGTTAAGTCATTTCATCTCTCTGTGCCTCAGTTTCCCCATCTGTAAAATGAGGGACTGAGATTAGATGGCTTTTAAGATCCCTTTCAGCTTTAGTTCTATGATCCTTCGAACCATCTATGACTTCTCCCTCTTTTAGGGTGTGCTCAGGGAACACGGTAAAGGGAAATTAGGGAGGTCCCTTCTTCCTGCTCTGCCCTTTTCCCATTTGTGTCTGCCATGCTAGGATGCTGCCTTCAGTGGGCCATTCTCCTCAATTTCTGTGGGGAACCATCTTGACTGGTGAGCAAGTGAGTGAAAACTAACCTAACCCTCTATAACAACAACCCCAGACTTGGCTTCCATCCATCTGTCCCAGCTATCTTGCCATATGCCCCATTGCCCCACATACTCTTCTTCCCACCCCTCCCCACCTTGCTCTGGGAACAATAATCTAATTAATACCGCCATCACTACTAGAAAAGGTTGTGGGGCTCATCTCGCCACTCCTACGACTCCCCTCCCAGTCTATCCCAGCTCTATGTGAATCATCCTCCTGTATTAGAATTAGAATTAGAAGCTTCCTGAAGGCAGAGGCTTTCTCACTTCTGTCTGTGTCCAGTTGCCAAGCACAGCACCTGGAATTTAATAGGCACTGTAGAAATGCTTTTACATTCATTCATTTATCCATCCATCCATCCCTCCATCCCTCCACCCCTCCATCTGTCCATCCATCCATCCATCCATCCATTCATCTACCCATCCATTCATGGTCCAGCCTATAACAGGGGAAAAGGCTAGATAGGAAGCTGTGAGTTGTCATTTGCCTGTTCTAATAGAATTTCCACTGCTTTGTTTCAGATTTTGGTGTAGGAGGCCTAGAGTCTAGGAATGCCAAGATACATTTCTCCCCCTCCCATCCACCCTAAAGACACTGTCCAGTTGGTGAATCATCTTAGTGCTCATCTCAGAGAGGCAACAGAGATAGAGAGCTGTCCTCAGAGTCAGGAAGACCTGGGTCCAAGTCCCAAACTCTGACACATACTGGTTGTGTGGCCCTGGATAAGTCACTCAAGCCCTTGGAGCCCCAGATAATTCTGTAAGAGCATGCAGATCAATCTGCATTGGCAGATGGAGCTTCCTCACCCAGTCCAGACCGAAAAACAAAAACTCAGACCTAATCAATTCTGGTCAACAAACATTAACTGCCTACTGTGTGCAATGCTTCACAGCCTGCGTGCTTAATCCAGCCTGCCATCTACCTTTGTATGAGTCCTTATTTTAAAATGTAAGACTTATTCTCCTTTGCTGTCAGGCTGAAAAGAAGTGGTGGGTTAGAGATAGCTGACCCCTGGAAGAGATGATTTTGAAGGAAATTTTCCAGGGCAGAATTCCTCTCTGTCTATTTTGAACTGGGCCTAGCACCTAGTGAGATCATAACTCTGGAGGTGGAAGGGCCCTTGAAGTTCATCTGGTCCAACCTCCTCATTTCACAGATGAGGAAACTGAGGCACAGAGAGCTCATAGGATCTCAGATTTAGAGACCATTTGCTCCAACCCTGCACATATCAGAGTGCCCATTACTGAGCAAACCTGGCAAGCAGAGACCTTATTATATCTGTACAGATCACCCAATCAGTCAATCGATAAACATTTATTAAGCACCTACTATGTGCCAGGCACTCATGCCTTAGATGGTGCCAGTGGTATTTATATTGGGTCTACACTGCTCTACTCGGAAGCAGCAATTTGAAGCAATTATCTGGATAAATCCTCTCTTCTGCTCTGAGTGTTTCAGATAAAAGTTTGGTTCGACAGACAGAATGTTCCAGTTCCTGGAAATACACTTTTCTCTGTGTCTATAGAAACATATGCAGGTGTAAGACAGGACTCTGTGGGCCACTCAGAGAGGGGGATGGTGGTAATAGACATGAAAAAGTTATCATAATCTTAATCATTGAACTTAAGTGATCGAACTGTACATTGTAACTGATAATAATAATGATAATAGCTAACCCTTATATGCCACTTGCTAAGTGCTAACACTATTCTAAGAGCTTTATAATTATTATCTCATTGGATTCTCACAACAATTTTGGGAGCTAGGTGCTGTTATTGTCTCCATTTTACAGATGAGGAAACTGAGGCAGACTGAGGTTAAATGAGTTGCCCACACCACTAGTAAATGTATGAGGCCAGATTTGAATTTAGGTCTTCCTGACTCTAGAACCAGTGCTTTGTCCACTGCTCCACCCAATTAAATAAATTGAAGTATGATACTATTTTCAATAAAACATTTTAGGTTGTTTTTTTAAATTGGGTTGGGTGGATCATAGGATTATAAAGCTAACCCTCCCAGCCCTGACATCCCCTGTTCTCAGGCCCCTCCCAACTCTGACATTAACATTCCAAATTCTAAGGATCCTTCCAGCCAGAGGTGTGTTGGGAAATGTTTAACAACCAGCTTTCTGAAAAGCAGGACATGCTGTTACATTTAATCTGCATTATTATTACAACATTTTCCTTATCACTTTCTAGACAACTGGCAACATTTAATCTGCATTATTATTACAACATTTTCCTTATCACTTTCTAGACAACTGGCAAAACAGTAATCACAGTAATCAAGCCCTTTTGAGTAGCATTTGCAGATTTTTGTGGTATAAATGCTCACAAGGGAAATTTTAAAAATTCCCCAAAGCCTGTAGAAGCTTCCTCCAGCACACCTTGACAGTCCCTGTTTGTTCTAAAGTCTCCCCCTGCTATTTCATGTTCTAAGAACCCTTCCAGATTCCAACAAAAGAAAGCCATTTGGAACAGCGGGATGGCACCAGTGTTCTAAGTCTGAGGAGCTGGGTTCGAGTCTCAGCTCTGTCATTTCCTGTTTGTGTGACCTTGGGTGAGTCTTTTAACCTCTCCACATCTGTTTCCTCATATATAAAATGAGGTGATTGGACCCTTTCCAGTTCTATATGTAAGAACTCATGAAAAGACTCCTGAATCCTTTTCTCCAGTCTCCATTTCCTTTGTGAACTTGACCTGAAACGGAAATCCCCGAGTAGGGGGGCCAGCTGCTTTCAGCCCCTTCCCCTAGGGGCCGGCCACCTTGTCAATGCTCTGGCCCAGCCTGCTGGCGCCACCAGGTCCCTCCATAAAAACAGCTGGGGAAGAATTAACATGATAAACCAAAGGGGCAGGGAAAGTCAGCCCGGCGTTATCTCCCTCCTGCTCCCTCTCTCCCAGGGAGCCTCTCCCTCGGCCCCTGCCCCCTCCCCAGCTCCCCCAGACTGGCTCTCCCTCTCTTTCATGGCTCAGAGGCTTGTTCCCAATGGCCCCTTTTGTTTCCCCCCATCGTGGCCTTTTTAATGGCCTGGAGAGCCATGGCAGCCAGCGGCAGTGGAGAGGCCGGCCCAGGACTGCAGGCTTTCTCATTAAAAAGCCCTGGTGGTAAGAGGCCTGCAGGCCGAGGCATGGGGGCCCTGTGTTCAGTTCATTAGAGTGAGGGGAGACGGCCAAGTTCATGGCTGACCCAGGCTTTAGGACCAGCTCTTCCCCAGCAGCCTGGACCTCTCCCCTGCTACGGGAGCCAGCGGCCAAGTCCCTCATTAGACTCTTAAGGGGAATGCTGACAGTAATACCATCTCTTAGGCTTTTGCTTATGAAGCAACCTTGTGAAGTAGATGCCATTTTAATTAGCTCATTTACAATTACAATCTGTTCATAATTAATTTTAATTAATTGCTTGATTGATTAATTGATTTGGCTTGGTGTCTGCCCCTGTGATCTCATCCGGGTGGAGAACTCCTGTTGGGGGAATTCCTTCCACTCAAGGAGACCATCAACTCATCTGTAACTTAGGGTCATGGGATCAGAGATCTAGAACAGGAAGGGACCCCAGAGGTCATTGGGACCAACCTCCTCATTTTACAGATGAGGAAACTGTGGCACGTAGAGAGAATGTGACTTAGAATCATCATTCTAGAGCTGGAAGGGACCTCAGAGGGCACTTAACCCAATCCTCCTAATTTTACAGATGAGAAAACTGAGGCCCACACAGGGGAAGGGATTTCTTTAGGTTTGTGGTCATAGATAATTGGGGAGGGGTGGGAGGAGAAGCAGCTCTGAGAAATTAGCTAAGTCACCCGTGGTCGCACAGCTAGTGTTTTTAGAGGCAGGGATTAAACTCGGGTGTTCTTAGATCTGAGGCCAGCCCTCTATGCCATGCTGCCTCCCAAGACAGTTACTAGAGGTATTACTATCCCCATTTGACAGATAAGAAAACTGAGGGTTATGGAGGTAAATCGACTACTTGCTCATGTCACACAATTGGGCTAGCTCATGATCCCCGACCTTTCCTTTCTATATGATCAGATACAAACTCTTCTGTTTGGCATTTAAAGTTCTTCACAACCTACTCTTCTCCTCTTTCTCGTGTTCCTACTCTTGACTCTCTCCCACACTCTCTCTGATCTAGCCACACTGGCTTTACTTGCCAGTCCATGGACACAGCACTTCATCTCCAGCCTCCTTGGCACAGAGTCAGCTCTTCACTCGCCCCACCTGCCTACCCAATCCATTGCCAAGTCTCATCCTGCCTTCCCAAGGTCTCCTTCTATCCAGTCTCACAGACTCCACCCTAATTCATGCCCTCATCACCTCTCACCTACACTATTGTGATAACTTTCTGATGGGTCTCCCGCCTCACGTCCAACCTCTATTCATCTGCCAAGGTGACTATGTCACCCTCTGCTCAATGCACTCAATGACTCCTTTCCATCTTCCTCTTCTCCCTCTCCCCTCTCTCAATCTCTCCTCCTCTCTCTCCCTTTCTCTGTCTCTCTCTCTCTCTCTCTCTCTTTATCTCTCTCCCTCTCTCTGTCTGTCTCTCTTTGTCTCTGTCTCTCTGTCTGACAGCTCCAACCATTACAACAGATTCCACAACACCTGCCCATTACCCTTACCTCTGCCCTCCAAGCCTCTTCCCCTTTAGAACCCTCCACGTACAGGAAGGCAGACTCATGTTCCCTGTGTCTTCTCTGGGCGAAATATCCTCAGCTTCTTTTCCATCAGTGAAGCTCTTTGAGGGCCAGAACAATTTCACAGTATTTGTGTCTTCCATGTGTGGCACGATGCCCAGCCTATTGTGGGTGCTTCCCACCTGCTGGATGATTGACATGCTCATTGAATCCATTCTTGCACTGCTTAGGAGCAGAGCCCTAAGCTCTGCTGTGAGAAGGTGTGAAGGGCGACTATCTGTACCAATGAAGGGAGTGCCCAGATAGCAAAGGGAGAGGGTGATCTCCAAAGTCTTTTCCAGCTCTTAATTCTAGGATTCTGAATAAATGGGACTGAAATTTCAGGGCAATTCAACTCAACAAACACTTATGAAATGCTATTATTGTTCAGTCATGCTTGACTCTTAGTGACCCCATTTAGGGTTTTCTTGGCAAAGATACTGAAAGGGTTGGTCATTTTCCTTCTCCAACTCCTTTTACAGATGGGGAAACTGAGGCAGACAGTGTGAAGTGACTTGCCCAGGGTCACACAGCTAGTGTTTGAGGCCAGATTTGAACTCAGGAAGAGGAGTCCTCCCGATTCCAAGCCCAGTGCTCCATCAAACAAAACAAACAGAACAGTCCCTGCCCTCAAGGAGCTTCCATTTGACTTGCTGTCTAGCTGTCTTGTGAATGGCTGTGGGAAGAATTCCCTGGCCCTCCAGTAAAAGGCCCTTGGTGGGATGAGTTCTCTCTCACATTGTAAGATTTTTCTCTCCAGGAGTTCTTAACTTGGGGTCATGAAGTTGTTTTTTCTAACATTTCAATAACTATTTCAACATAATTGGTTTCCATTGTAATCCTATGTATTTATTTTATGCACTGAAAGATGGTGATCATAAGAAGGGGTCCCTAGATTTCAGAAGATTGTCAAAAGAGCACAGGACACAGAAAAAGTAGAAAACTCCCATTTTATACTGAAACAAAGTTTAAAATGGTTGATTTCTGGCTTCTTGGAGTTAAGGTCAGGGAATGTCCAGATTCTACTCTCAGAAGTCTGGGGGCCCTGAAGCCACCAAAGTAACTGGTCGTCATGCCCAGCCCCAGCCGCCCCAGCTCCATAACACACGCTAGACCACCAGTGTGCTATCCCTGGAGTGTTTATTTGCAGGAGAAAAGAGGACTTCCAGAAATGCCAGTGTTAAAAGCCTCAGGCAGTGAAAAGTATGTCTAAGAGACTTGTACCCAGCTGAGGCTGGAGAGCTGCCAAGCTTCTGAAACCCTCCCAACTAGCTCAGAGTTCTCCAGGGGGATTGTCCGGCCAAAACTGCCAGGGTTCTGGAGTGCAACAAAGAAGTCTGACATTATCCTCAAGGGAAATGCTTCTTTCATTCAGGCTACCAACCTGAGATCAATCATAGACGTTAAGGTTGGAGAGGATCTTAGAAACAATTTCATTCAGCCCTTTTTATTTTACAGATGAGGAAACTGAGGCCCAGAAAAAAGTGATACGCCCAAGCTCACACGGAGTAGGAAGGGGGAGAGTCAGGTTTTCAATACAGGACTCCCAACAGATAGGCAGTTTGGGACAATGTTGGACTGCTGAATTTAAAATTCTGGATCGAATTTACGATTAAATACTTGTGTGACTTTTGACAAATATTTAACCTTTGTGGGATTCAGTGTCTTCATTTGTAAAATGAGGGGTTGGACCAAATCACATCTAAGATGCCTAGTTCTAAATGCATGATTCTATGAATCACAAATCTATGATTCTATGAATCCAAATTCAATTTTTTTCTTCTACTATTTTGCAGTTTTATCCAAAGGGCAGCTAACTGGTGTACTGGATATTGGGTCTGGAATCAGAAAGACCCAAGTTCAAACCTGGCCTCAGACATCTACTAGCTGTAGAAACCCGGGAAAGTCACATAACAGCTGCCTACCTCAGTTTTCTCAGTGATAAAATGGGGATCATAACAGCGCTCACCTCCCAGGGTTGTTATGAGAATCAAATGAAACGGTATTTATAAAGTGCTTAGCACAGTTCCTGACACATAGTAGACCCTTAACAGATGTTTATTTCCTTCCTTCTCATAGTATGTGTAGGGGTAGACAGAGGGGTCTTTGCTTCCCTTCTCTTTTTCCTAACTTTAAGATGGGAAGCCAGGTTGGACTCTGTCTCTGAGGCCCCTTCCAGCTATAACATCATAGGATTCTTGGTCCAAAGTTGTAAAGAAATGCTCTTTCTCTGACCCTTCTCCCTTCCCCCCTTCCCTTTCTCCTCTGGCTGCAATTCTGTGGATGATAAGGGTGAGAGACATTCGCCTTGTCTCCTCCAGCTACCAGCAGAGCCGACTGAATGTTATCACCATCAATCAGCCTCAGCTAAGAGGACAGGAAGAAACCATTGTTAAACAGAGGTCTGACAGCTTCTTAGATTCCCATCCCAGTGGGAGCTGGTGTTGAAAAAGGGGAGGGAGGACGTTTGTTAATTTTGTTTTGGAAAGCGGGCAGGGTCTCTCCATCTTTGGGATTATACACTGTCTACTCCTGTCATGCTCTGTCCTTGGGTGATGTGATGGGAAGAGCGCTGGCCCTGGAGGGAAGAGACCCAACTGCAGGAAATCAGGACTTTATATTTGTAGGGCAGGTGGGGGGTAAGTTTGAGCCTCAGTTTCCACATCTGTCAAAAGAGGGGCTTAGATTTAATGCCCTCTAAGATCCCTTTCAGCTCTAGATCTCATTCTATCAAAATCACCCAATCTCTCTGAGCCTCAGTTTTCTCATCAGTAAATTAGGGCTGATCAGTGCTGTGTGCTTGGCATAACCACAGACCAAGAAGCTTTCTAATTGGCTGAAGGGATTCTGGGGTTGTATCATGGTTATTTGTCCTCGTGCTCCTTGCTGGATTGTAAACTCCATGTGAGTAGCGACCACACAGGCAAACGCAGTGTCGTGGAAAGCATATTGGTTTGGAGTTGGAAGACTGGGGTCTGAGCAGGTCTTTAAAGATGTTTATTAACTTCCTGAGCCACAGATGGGGTGCAGGCTTGTTGTCCGTACCCCATCTTCACTTGCAGGGATATTTAGCAATAAGATGTCATCACATACTGAAAGTGGACAGGAACAGAGGGATTGATTCATTGATTGCTCCGCTTCCAATTTTACAGATAAGAAAACTGAGGCCATAGAGGTGGAGTGACTTGTCCACTGACACACACGTGGTGTGGGTCAAACCCAAATCTTCCTGCATTTTGCACCATATCTTTCTTCTTCTCCTGGGAATGAATGAGATTATGAGTAAGACACTTCAGCCAGCAAAAGCTTTGGCAGCCTTTTCAAAAACCGACCCAAGCAAGCCCTGGCTCGAGACAGTTGAACAATGAGGAGTCATGAGTGATTTATGATGGGTTCTGCAAATCCTGTAAATGACCATAACACCGTATTCCCAAAAGGAGAAGTTGAGGGTTAGGCTGAGTGTGGGGGAGTGAAGCGGAGGAGTGGGTCACGGCAGGAAGACAAGGGTTGGAAGACAGACAAGAAGGCATTCGGAGGACATTTCCTTGTGGTCTGAAGATCCTGCTCTGACTGAGCAATTAGGAATGGGAATTACAAGCTTCTTCCATATTTGTAAATTTGCCTTAGACCCATCAGGACGTGGAAAACCAGCATCTCTCATTCTGTCTGCAATAGGGACATGAGATAGAACATTAGAAAATATGATTCTTTCTGAAAGACCACTGTCCACCAACTTAAGATTAGGAGGTTATTAGAGTACTGTGATATGAGTTAGGAAGCCAGAGTTGCCCACTGGCCATCTGTATGACCAAAGCCAGGGATTTTCCTTCTCTGGTGCTCCAAGGTGCCACATTCGTAAAAGGAAGGGAAGAGAAAGATGATGTATGACTTCCCATACTTCTTGCTTTGATTCATTTTCATCATTTTCCCTTTGTCTTTATCACTTTCACTCTATTCTCTTTTTCCTTATTTTTTTCTTTCTTTAAATTATTTTTTATTAATTTATTTTTAGTTTTCAACAATCACTTCCATAAGCTTTTGAGTTTTAAATTTTCTCCTTTCCCTCCCCGCCTCCCTCCCCAAGATGGCCATGTAATCTGATATGGGCTGTAGATATACATTCCTATTAAGCATATTTTCACATTAGCCATGTTGTAAAGAAGAATTAGAACCAATAGGAGGAACCACAGGAAAGAAGAAAGAAAACAAAACAGAAGAAAAAAAAGAGCAAATAGAATGCTTCAATCTGCATTCAGACTCCATATTCTTTCTGCAGATGTGGATACCATTTTTTATTATGAGACTTTCGGAGTTGTCTTAGATCCTTGCATTGCTGAGAAGAGCTAAGTCTATCAAAGTTAGTTATCATAAAATGTGGCTGTTACTATGTACAACGCTCTCCTGGTTCTGCTTACTTCACTCAGCATCAGTTCATATTTCCTCACTTTTCTATCAGCTTCTTAACCACCATCATCCATGGAAAGCACAAATATAAACTTTACTCTGAATTTATAACAGGTAATTGTTGAGGGGGAGGGAGAGAAAGGGGAGGTAGAGCCTATATTTGACCAGTATGACAATGCTATTCCCTAGAATCATAAGTAGGAGCCTACTTGAAGTGTGTGTGTGTGTGTGTGTGTGTGTGTGTGTGTGTGTGTGTGTGTGTGTGTGTGTGTGTGTGTGTGTGTGTGTGAGGGTGGAAGGTGAGACTGTGCCCAGAGGACAGTCTGTTCTAGCCAGGTGCAGTAGCAATGGTACCCTTAGAGAGTCTGGCCCAACCTCGGGGAGGGCTCTGAGGAGAAGCTAATGGTACCATGATGGACCTAGGGAGAGGGACGATGGCAAGGGATTTGTGAGGTTGCAGCCTGACCTGGGGAGAAGGAAAGGGAATGCCTGTGAAGATGGCTCACCCTAGTCATTCTTCTATAGCTCTTAACTTTAAAGACTTTTCACAGGTGTTATCTCCTTTTGGCCTCACGGCAGGGAGATAAAATAGAAAGTCAGTAAGACCTGGGTTTAAGTCCTTTCTCTGACCCTTACTGGCTCTGCGACCTCAAGGAAGTCTTTTTCATCTGGCCCCTGGGCATTCTGTAAGACTAGAAGTTAATGCTTTGATTTGCTTTGATGGAGGGAATTTTCATACTAGGACCCAAAGGTATTATAGGTCTGGATAAAAAAAAAAAAATGAAGACCCAAGCATCTTCAGCATAATCTTTTGGAGGCTCAGAGAATGGCTTTCCTGAGGTCACCCAGAGAGTTAGTGGCAGAGGAGAGATGAGAACCCAGGTCTTGCTGAAATACAATCAAACTATCCATTCCTGGGCTCCTTTCTGCATTTCAGGCCCCTATGCTGTTTAGGCGCAGGAAGCAACCACCCGCTTCTGAGGCCAGTGAGGTTGCCCCGTGAGCCTCTTGGGGACCCCTGAGAAAAATAACCAAGGAGGAAAAAACCCCACCTAGCCAGCAACTGCCCCGTGACACCTCTGAGTGGGACTCTGTTCAGCCCGGTCTTTGTCTCGCTCATTAGCTGCCCCACCCTCTCCTCTGGCCTTTTCCAGGGGGCTTCCTGCCCAAGGCCATTGTCCCAAGCTCTCCACTCCCCATGGATTAGACAAGGAGATAAACTGTTGGCACCTTTAGAAAAATATTCTCTTAGGAAATCATTAGTGTGATTTTGGTTTCCTACTCTTTGGAGGGAACTCATCCAAGGCATAATGATCAGATTAGTTGTATGATGGTTTTCTGGGGCTGTGCTCTTAGTGGGTTACTTTTCCCCCAGTGCCTGGGGGCTCTGAGAGGCTGTGAGGCATACATAGTAAGAGCCTGCCTCCAAGTCAGGAAGCCCTGGGTTGAAGTCCTGCTTCAGACACATACTGGGTGTGTGTGACCCTAGGCAAGTCACTTAACCTCCCAAAGCACGTCCTGTGGTTCTAGTAGCCCTATAATTTCTGTGTTATAAAGAACTTCTCCCATAAGCAGGCTTCCCTCGTTCTGTCAGGTCAGCATCTTCTCAGCAATTTACTGTTCTAAAGAATTGACCAGCACTGACTGGTCCACTGCCTTGGCCAGAGTATTGTAGCCATTTTGTGCTAGAGGTGAGACTTGAATCCCAATCTTCCTGGCTTGGATGCCAGTTCTCACTAGGCCTCACTGCTTCTCAGAGAACCTGGGTTCAAATCCTGACATTGACGTCCAACGTGCAAAACACAAATTCCCTAGACCTCAGTTTCCTCAAGTGGTTGAACTGGGTGCCCTCTGAGATCCCTGGGTGCTCCTGCTTCTGGTACACACTCGCTGTGTGACCTTGGGCAAGTCACTGAGTCTCCCTGGGCCTCAGTTTCCTCATCTGTAAAATTAGGGGATTAGATTCCTCCAAGCTCTATCTGGGGTCCTAGGACTTGGGGAAATACTCCAGACAAGATACTAAGCTGCATTGATGGAGAAAATCACTTAGACCCACATAGAGAAAATATCAGGTCTGGACAAAATCAAAACACACCAAGAAAGCTGAAGTCACACTAATCCCGACTCCTCCCGGGAGCCTCCCAAAGCGATTCTCTGTCATCCCTCGCAAACATAGTCATAATCATAATTAGAATTCATTTTTGGGTTGCTAGCTCCCTTCTCTTGTCCCAAGCTTGCCCCCATTTCATCCACAGCACTGACTGCTCATTCATGGCCTCTTGCAAAGCATGGGTAATGGGATGCTGGTCCAGTATCCTCTCATAATTCTGCTTGATTTTTCTTTAAATGGACTGCTTGCTGGGCATGCCTTAGCATGTACAATATTGGAAGAAGTCAGGGAAACCCTGGAGGGCTTCTGACCTTGTGCTCAGGCCATGGCCTTGAGGAATGGGAAGATGGCTGTCTCTGGAGCTGGTGGACCTGGAATTGTGTGTGTGTGTGTGTGTGTGTGTGTGTGTGTGTGTGTGTTTGGGGTGGGGTGGGGGGGAGACAATCCCAACATTTCCCAACTGCTGGCTGAGCAATACATTCCAGTCCACAGATATTTTCCCAGTGGCCTGCCATCTACCATGAAGGGCACTCAAATAATTCAGTGGAGGAAATGAGTATTACAATTTTATTTTCTATTGAACTATATTCAATTGTTTAAATGTCGGGTTGTACAAGGGACAGAGAATAGGATGGTAGATCCTGGCAGCCATGAGATCTTTGGGGAGAATCAACCAATCAAGCAACACTTACTAAGTGCATACTATGAGGGACATTGTGCTACGTGCTGGGAGTACAAAAATCAGCCCCCAAAAAGTACCTTCCTTCCAGGGGCTTACAATCGAATAGGAAGATCCGGGCTTTGCATAAGCTAATTGACTCTTCCTATTGTCAAGTCTAGAATCACAGATCACAGATCTTACTCCAAGGGAGCACTGAGGCCAACCCTTTCATTTTATAGGTGAGTTAACTGAGGCACAGAGAGCTAGCTTTCTTGAAGGTTGAGCAAAGACGTTCCATTTTACTCTAAGCCTTAGTGCACCTCTCCTTTCTCAAATCATCCTGCATTGATGTAACCCTGTGGCTCGGCATACCAGCTATTGGCTCAGCCTTAGGAGCTGGCTCTTGTCTCGGACACTCGATAGCTGAGTGACCCCACTCATGTCCCTTAACTCCTTAGGTGTCCCCGCCCCAGGCACCTAAGGCTATCAGCTGTTGAACACTAGGGATCTGAGTTGTAGAGAGAGTCCCTATGGGAGTTCCTCATGCTACTAAGTTCACAAGTGACTGGACCAATTCATATTTAGTCACTTACACGATGTATAGCTACTACAGAATATAAACCTCTTGAAGGCAAGGACCATTTATTCTTTCTTGTCTTTGTAGCAGGATCATAGAATCATAGATTTAGAGCTGGAAGAGACCTTGGAAGCCATCTAGTCCAATTCCCCCCTGATTTTACAGATGAGGAAACTGAGGCCCAGGGAGATTAAGTGATTTAGGATCATCAGTCTGGGACTGAAAGGGATCTTAGAGGCCATCGTCCAACTCCCCTCATTTTACAGATGGGTAAACTAGCCCAGGGAGAAGTGCTTTGTAAACCCTAGTCCTCAGATTCCAAATCCACCTTTCTTTTCATTTTACCTCAAAATAAACTCTTATTGAGTGGGATTGGCTCACGGGACTTGCCCAAGGTCACACATAAGTGATAGAGGCAAGAGACATTCCAAAGGGTTTTGAACTTCCAATGGAAAGGCAAAAACCTTTATGCCTAAGAAGAATGTTCTCTTCCCTCTCTCATCCTTAAAGCAGACACCGAGATGGTATCTGTTCCGTCTTCTTCCCTGGGGTTTTTGTGGTGACCAAATATGGTAATCTATGTGAAAATCCATTGGTAAACTTTAAGCACCATGTCAGCTATTCCATGAAATCCTAGAGCTGGAAAGGACCTCAGACGGCATCTAATCCAAACTCCTCATTTTACAAATGAGGAAACTGAGGCTGAGAAAGGTGAAGTAACAGAAAGTAATTAGGAGAGCTGGGATGTGAACCCAGGTCAAATCTAGTGCTCTATCCTCTACCTGCTATAGCATTGTATCACTCTACTTTTTAATTTTCCTCTCTCTAATTCTGGGGACTCCTATTCCTTAAAATAAGGCATGAGAGTTGAGGAAAAGCCCTGAAGCAGATGTTTCTGGGAGGTTTCCTTTATCCTTAACCAAGAAGCAGAAGTTTATTCTGTATATGTGTGTATATATTAAAGAGAGAGAGAAAGAGAGAGAGAGAGAGAGAGAGAGAGAGAGAGAGAGAGAGAATCTCGCAATTGTGAGATTCCTTTGCATATGTGCATTTGCATATTGTTTTCCTCCATTAGATTGTAAGCTCCTTGAGGGCAAGGATTTAGCATAGTGTCTGGCACATAGATTAATAAACATTAGTTGAATTGAAAATTATTGAACTGGTGTCATGCATAAAGAATCAGACTTAGAGTTAAAAAGACCTCAGTTCAAATTCTGCCTAAGTAGAGATTTTCCAGCTATCTGACCCTGGGCAAGTCACTTAGCATCTATCAGCTTTGGTTTCCTCATCTGTAAAATGGGGATAATAAGAACACCCGTCTCACAGCATTATTGAGTGGGTCAAATAAAATAACATCAAGATGAACACACAAAAAAGAGAATGCATATAAAGTGATTTGCACACCTTAAAACACAATCTAAATGTTCAGCTCTCTGGTCCTCAGTTGCCTCATCTGTAAGACAAAGAAAGGGTCGGATTAAATAACTTTCTTGTTCCCTTTCAACTCCCTGAAGAGGTTTGAATTTTACCAGTTAGAAGCAGCCCTGCTCACAATTGGTGATTTAGGTGTTGACCTGTCTTGGATTTTAGCTGAAGTCTCTCAGCAAAGATTTTGGGATTCTTTTTATGGATTCCTAGTTGCCCCCCATCTAAGGACCCTCCCCCTCCTCCCTCTCCCTCACCCCACCAATGCACCCAAAATAAAAGATTACCTGGCACCAAATGCCAACAGAGCCATTAGTCATAATGCTCACAATAACGTATCGGGGCCATGGCACACTGGGAGGAAGTCTGATAAAGAAAACACTACCTAAGATGACTTTTAATTGGCAGCCAAAGCAACAGCGTGACGGTGCCAATTCCCTGCACACTTCTCCATAATTCAAAACCTCCTCCCCATCCGGAGTGGAGAGCGGACCCCTCCCCTCCAGAATCCCAGGCATCTTGCTTCCTTCATGATTCCATTCAAATGTCACCTCCTCCAAGCTTATCAGACCATCACAGTATCTCAGGGTTGGGAGGGATCTCTGAGGTCAACTAGTCTAATCTTTCCTGGAAAAAGAATTCCCCAGAGACTATTCCTTTCCTTCCCCCTCTCCCACCCCTCCCCAAGATCATCTAGCCAACACGAAAAGACTTCTGCTGCCTGAGGCAGCTCATTCCACTTTGGGCTGGCTCTAATTGTTAGAATGCTTTTCTTTACTATAAATCTGTCTTTCTGCACTTAATAACTATGTGATTTTGGGTGAGTCATTTAATAAAAAAGACTGCATTTAATTTCTCTGGGTCTCACTTTCCTTATCTGTCTACAATAGGTGTTTCCACTTTCTCTCTTCTCACTTTTTTCTTTACCTCTTAAAATCTGGCTTCTGACCTCATCATTCCATCTACACTACCCTCCTCAAAATTACTGATGACCTTTGGGACCAAATCCAATAACCTTTTCTCAGTCTTCATTCTCCTTGACCTCTCGCTGCCTTTGACACTTATAAAAGGGAGAGAATAATAAGAACTGGGAGGTGGAGAGTAGGGGTGGAGTAGAGAGCCTGTGTTCTCTGTGATACTTTCTTCTCTCTAGGTTCTTGGGACATTTCTTTCTCCTGGTTCTCATCCTACCACTCTGACTGCTCCTCTGTCTCCTTTGCTGTATCCTCCTCCAGATCACACCCTTTAACCCCAGGAATCTCTCAGGATTCTGCCGTTGAACTTTACTCGGTGATCTCATTAGCACCCATAGATTTAATTACCATCTCTACGCTGATGATTCTCTACCTATCTACCTGTCCTGCCCCAATCTCTCTTCTGACCTCCAACTGCCTTTCAGATATCTCAAACTGGATGTCTTGTAAACATCTTAAACTCAGTATTTCTAAAATAGAACTTATTATGTTTAGTTGTTTTAGTAGTGTCTGGCTCTTGGTGACCCCACTTGGGTTTTCTTGGCAAAGATTCTGGAGTGGTTTGCCATCTCCTTCTCTAATTCATTTTATGGATGAGGAAACTGAGGCAAGTAGCATTAAAGTGACTTGCTCAGAGTCATACAGCTAGTAAGGGTCTGAGGCTGAATTTGAACTCAGGTCTTCCTGACTCTAGGCTCAGTGCTCTATCTACTTTACCACTAGTTGTCCCCCTGTAGAGGACACTGTCCTCCCAATCCTTCAGGCTCACAACCTAGGAGTCATCCTGAACTTCTCACTATCTCTCATTCTCCATACCCAAGCTATTGCCGAGGCTTGTGATTTCACCTTTGTAACATCTCTGGAATATGCCCCCTTCTTTCCTCGGACACTGTCACCATCATGGCGTAGACCCTGATCACCTCCCACCTGGACTATCTCAATAACTCCTGACTGCCTCAAGTCTCTCCCTGATCCAATCTATTCTCCATCCAGTCACTAAAGTGGTTTACTCTTAAGTGAAGGTCTAATCATGCTACCCACTAACCAATCAATGCCAGTGGTTTCTTATCGCATCAAGATGAAATGCAAAATGCTCCATATGGCATTCAAAGCCCTTCATCACCTAGCCTCCTACCCCTCCTGTCTTCTTATACTTATTTCTTGGCATGTACTCTTCAATCCGGTGACATTGGCCTCCTGGCTGTTCTGTAATCAAGACATTCCATCTCTCAGCTGGAGGCTTTTTCTTTGGTCACCTCCCATGGCTGGGATGCTCTTTCTCCTCCCCTCCAACTACTGACGTCCCTGGCTTCCTTTAAGTCCCATCTAAAATCCCACCTTCTACGAAAAGCCTTCCCTACCCTAGCCCCTCCTAATTTTAGTGCCCTTTCTCTGTTAAATACACACACACACACACACACACACACACACACACACACACACTGATTGTAAAATAAGGAGGTTGCACTAGATCAGGGATTCTTAACCTGGAATCCATACATTTTCTAAAAAAATTCTAGATAATTATATTTTAATGTAATTGATTTCCTTTGCAATCCAATGAAGTTTATTTTTGCTGAAAAACAATAGGTATTCATAGGTTTCACTAGACTGTAGAAGGGTCCATAACACAAAAAACCCTGGACTAGGTGAAGGATACTGCTGTTACCAAGATGGATTTTTGTTTCAGGGAGAAGTTTGAGGCCATTTAAAGTCAGTCAGTCAATAAGTATTTATTAAACACCTACTATGTGTCCTGCATAACGTTAAGCACTGGAAATGCAGAGAAAGGTAAAAACAATCCCTGCCCACAAAGGAGCTCACTTTCTAATGACAGAGATAACACAGAAATAACCAGGTATGCTTACGTGTTGTTGAGCCATTTTTCAGTCGTATCCAACTCTTCATGACTCCATTTGGGGTTTTCTTGGTGAAGATAATGGAGCTGTTTGCTACACTCCATAGCAAATGGAAGGGAACCCTAGAGGAGAAGGCACTAGCAGTCAGGGGAAGTGGGTGCTGGGAAATTCCTCCTGCAGAAGGTGGGCTTTGAGCTGAATCTGGGGAAGCTGGAAGTCAGAGGCGAGAGAGAGCATTGCAGGCATGGAGGTGGGACTGGGGAATGGGGACAGCCAGTAAAAAGGAGTGGCGCCTGGAGATGGAGGCCTAACCAATTTCTCAAATGCTATCCTTCCTAATTCTCTTCCTCTTATTTAGTCCTCAACCACTATAATGTTTAAATTAGACTTACGTGTGAATGATTGCTTTCCTAGACACTTAGGTAGGGATACACTAGCTGAGATTGACTCTTACTTGCTTAATCCTTAGTGCTCCCATCTTTAAAACAGATATCATCAAATCTGTTTTCCCTTCCTCCTGGATCTGTCACAAGGATCGAACACAATGATCTTTCTGAAAATGCTTTTGTAACCTCTCAATGACATGTCAATGTAAGAAATTACATGGGATACCACTCATAGAGACACATCTTCCCAGGCACACTTAACAGGATCCCCTTTGCAGGAGCCAGGACCTCCTCATCCTCCACAGCCCGTTTGTAAGGAATCAGAAGGTGAGGGAACATGCCTCTGGAAGGGATCAAGGCTTCTCTGGGTAAAGGAGCCAATTCCATTGTCATGGGATGGAGACGTTTCTCCTCCCTCCCGGCCCGTGGCCTATGACTGACAAGTAACAGCAGGCCATCAGACACAGAGCCTGTTTCCCATTTGCCTGTCACTGCCTCTCCTGTTCACCTCGGTCACAGGAAGAACACCAGATGCCTGAGAAGAGGCAGGGGGAGTCCTCCCCCCACCCCCTGCCCCACCATTGCTGATGAATCCATGGGATTTGGAAATAGTTGATGAAGGCAACAGATGCAAGCGGAGAAAAAAAAGAAAGGAAGGAGAGGGCATGGTGGGGTCAGAAATAGGAACTCAAATTATAGGCTCCCCCAAAGAATGGCTACTTGGGCCAACCCCCTTTAGAGAAGTTGTAGCTGCAAAGGACCATGGTGATCTCTGAGGAAGAATAACTTTGTAAGATCAACCAGCCCACAGGAAGTCAAGGGGCACCCCACTTTATAGGACAGCAAGGCTCCTGGAAAATCGCGTTAGTTGAATTTTTATGAATCACATCGTAGCATTCTTTAGAACAATAGTTCATGTTTACAAGAGCTCTTTGCAGTTTATAAAGCACATTCCTCATGGAAATCCTTCAGGCATTATTATTCCCATCTTACAGATAATAATGTCATGTTTACATAGCATGCACTGATTTTCCCATAACTTTTCTGTAAGGTAGGAAGGGCAAGAATTTTTTTCTGAGTGTCCGGATCTATAATTGCACAGGTGCAGACTCCCTCCCCAATGCTGATTGGTGATTCATCTGTAACTTACAGTCTCAGAGCAAAGGTTCTTAACCTGGGATCTGTGAATTTTATAAAGAAAAATATTTGGATAGTCATATTTCAATATAATTGGTTTGTAATCCCATGTATTTTGGTTTATGAATTAAAAATATGATTCTGAGAAGGGGTCCCTAAACTTTACCAGACTGCCCAAGGGTCTAGATTAAGAATCTCTGGCAGAGAGAGTTGCCTTGGGGCACAGAGAGTGCTAAGTGGTTTTGTATGTGTCAGAGGAATTACTTGAACTCAGGTCCTTCTGATTGAAAGTCCAGTTCTCTCTCCAAAACGTCACAGTGATCCTAGGATTTAGAGCTGGAAGGGACCTTAGAGGTCATCAAACACAACCCCCATCTGCATTGTGCAGATGAAGAAACTGAGGCACAGAAAAGTTGTGACTCACTCAGGGCCACATGGTAAGGGCCATAGGCAAGATTTGAATCTAGATCTTTCCAACTCCACATCCAGCTCTCTATCCACTTCCACACACAGACTCAGGGAAAGGATTATTACCACGTACAATATTCCATTTCTTATCTCTGCCTTTACCTAGAATACAGCCTTGTATACAAGTCCTCTGCCTCTTAGAATTTCTAGTCTCCTTCAAAACTCAGTTCAATGGCTTCCTCTTACAAGAGGCCTTTCCTAATTGCTAGTGTCTCTCTTTCTCCCAGATTAACTTGCATTTGCAAGACAGAAACATAGATAGAGAGATAGATCTATGAGAGAGAGAGAGAGAAAGAGGAAACAGACAGAAACAGAGACAGAGAGAGACAGAAAGGCAGAAGGATAGAGAGGAAGAAAGAGAGGCAAGGAGGGAGGGAGAGAAGGAGGAGGAGGACAGAGATGAGGATGAGGACGAGGATGAGGATGAGGAGGATGAAGAAGAGGAGGAGGAAGAGGAGGAGGAAAAGAAGAAAAATAAGAGGGAGGAGGAGGAGGAGGAAGAGAAGGAGAAGGAGAAGAAGGAGAAGAAGAAGAAAGAAGAGGAGGAGGAAAAGAAGAAAAAGAAGAGGGAGGAGGAGGAGGAGGAAGAGGAGAAGAAGAAGAAGAAGAAGAAGAAGAAGAAGAAGAAGAAGGAGAAGAAGAAGAAGAAGAAGAAGGAGAAGAAGAAGAAGGAGAAGGAGAAGAAGAAGGAGAAGGAGAAGAAGAAGAAGGAGAAGAAGAAGAAGGAGAAGGAGAAGAAGAAGAAGGAGAAGAAGAAGGAGAAGGAGAAGAAGAAGAAGAAGAAGAAGAAGAAGAAGAAGAAGAAGAAGGAGAAGAAGAAGAAGAAGAAGGAGAAGAAGAAGAAGAAGGAGAAGAAGAAGAAGAAGAAGGAGAAGAAGAAGAAGAAGAAGAAGAAGAAGAAGAAGAAGAAGAAGAAGAAGAAGAAGGAGAAGGAGAAGAAGAAGAAGGAGAAGAAGAAGAAGGAGAAGGAGAAGAAGAAGAAGGAGAAGAAGAAGAAGGAGAAGGAGAAGAAGAAGAAGAAGAAGAAGAAGAAGAAGAAGAAGGAGAAGAAGAAGAAGAAGAAGGAGAAGAAGAAGAAGAAGGAGAAGAAGAAGGAGAAGAAGAAGAAGAAGAAGAAGGAGAAGAAGAAGAAGAAGAAGGAGAAGAAGAAGAAGGAGAAGAAGGAGAAGAAGAAGAAGAAGAAGGAGAAGAACAAGGAGGAGGGGGAGGAGGGGGAAGAGGGAGATCTGATTCTGCTGTTGTGTCCCCAGTGCCTACTACACAGTAAATGCTTAATAAATGATCGGTTGCTATTGTTGAGGAAACCGAACCTCTGAGAGCTAGTAACCATGTCAGGATTTGAACCCAGGTCTCCTCCCTGCAAGTTCAATGTTCTTTTTCTTGCTGAATGGTACCAGAGGTTCCTGTGAGGTAGGTAATGCCTATACCATCACCCCATTTTACAGATGAAAAAGTGGAGGCTCGGATAGCTCAAAGATTTGTCCGCATTTACACAGCAGATGAACATTTGAGTGGACATCTGTCTCAGTTTTGTTTTCCGTGCCTTTCCTCCTCTGCTAACTTTTTCCTCCTGGTCATCAGAGCCCTCTTCCTTCAGGAGACAAATTCTCAGCCAGGCATCTCTCCTTTCCTAGCGTTCCTTAATCCTCATCAAAGTCTTCTGCTATTATCACAAGAGAACAATAGCTGACATTCTTACAGCACTTTAGTGACGACTTTACGGCAGCTAGGTGGCGCCATAGTGCGCAGAGCTCCCTGCCTGGAGTCAGGGAGAGTCATCTTCCTGAGTTCAAATCCAGCCTCAGACAATTATTAGTTGTGTGACCCTGTGACACAATCCTGTTTACCTCAGTTTCCTCATTTATAAAATAACCTGGAGAAGGAGATGGCAAACCACCCCAGTATCTTTGCAAAGAAAACCCCAAATGGGGTCATGAAGAGTCAGACACAGCAGAAGAGCCTCAACAATGATTCATAAGACAAATAACAGCTCACCTTATGCCAATCATAGTTTAGATTTTAAGGTTCTCTAAGATCCTTGATAAAATCTGGAAGACTCACTGTCTCATTGATCGTATTCACAAGTCATTCCATGGGTCATCATTATTCCCATTTTACAGACAATAAAGTCACACATACACATACACACACACACACATATCATACAGTGAATTTCACATAAGGACATTTATAAATCATCCTCAGGGGAAAATTATTTCTTGATTTTTCACTCCTTCCGGAAGCCCGCATTTTGCTTCCAGTATCATCACAGTATCTAAAGGATCTCTTTTGTGGTGAATGCTTGGGTAAAGTGAAAAATATTCTATCAAGTTGTAATATTTAGGCACTATCTTTGACATCCAGATCTTTCCATTTTCATCACACTTTGTGCCTGACCCTCAGAATACTTACTTCATGGCTTTACCAGCTCTCATTTCACCCAGAAGAATCTTCCTCTCCTGGTATAACTGCCAAATAGTGTAACCATTATTTTCTTTTAAAAATTTATTGTTTTAAGTGAGTAGAACCAGGAGGACATTGTACACAGTAACAGCCACATCATGTGATGACTAACATTGATAGACTTAACCCTTCTCAGCAATGCAAGGGTCTAAGACATCTCCAAAGGCCTCATGATGGAAAATGATATCCACATACAAAGAAAGAACTATGGAGTTTGAATGCAGATCGAAGCATACTATTTGCTACTTTTTTTCTTCTGTTGTGTTTTGTATCCTCTTTCTAGTGGTTCCTCCTATCAGTTCTAATTCTTGCTTACAACATCACCAATGTGAAAATATGTTTAATAGGAATGTATATGTATACCGTCTTGGGGAGGAAGGGAGAGAAAAATTTAAAACTCAAAAGCTTATGGAAATGATTGTTGATAGTTCAAAATAAATTAATAAAAAAAGAAAAAATATTCAAAAAATATTTCCCAATTACATGTAAAAAAATTTAACATTCATTTTTTTAAATTCTGAGTTCCAAATTTTCTTCCTCTCTCCCACCTTTCACAATCCATTAGAAGGTAAGCAATATACTGATTATGTATGTGGAAGTCATGCAAAACATATTTTCATATTAGCCATGGTACAAAAGAAAAAAAACCATACAAAAAAGCAAGGAAAAATTTTTTTTTAAGTATTCCTCAATTTACATTCATTCATCAGTTCTCTCTCTGGAGGCGGATAGCATTTTTCGTCATGGGTCCTTTGGAATTTTCTTGGATCATTTTCTTGATCAGAGTAGCTAAGTCTTTCACAGCTGATCATTCTTACAATATTGCTGTTACTATGTACAATATTCTCCTGGTTCTGCTCACTTCACTTTGTATCAGTTCATATAAGTCTTTCCAGGTTATTCTGAAACCATCCTGCTTTATAAGGTCTTATATCGCAAGTGTGACCATTATTTCAAAAAAAGTTCTAGACATGCTTCTTTTTACTTTCATCTCTCTGGCCATCTCTATAGTTCCTCCTAGTTTGTCTTCTTCCTCCTGTCTTCTCCTCTACTCTTCCAGTCCTCTCCCCCAGTTTTGGAACCATGAACCATGATCAAATCAATACTGTCATTGTTCCTGGATGGGGAGTACCAATCCACTCAACCATCCCTGTACTTTTCTAGACCTGGCTATTACTCCCCTTTGTGCCTCATTTCCTCCATTAGAATGTAAGCCCTTGAAGGGAGCAGCTGTCTTTGTTTTCTGTACAGGTACAGTATACTCAGTGCTTGGATTATTATAAGTGATTGATAGATGCTTTCCCATCCATCCATCCATCCATCCATCCATCCATCCATCCATCCATCCATTGTTCACTGACATTAAGGAACATCTAGTTTAGCCTTTTACTCAAAAGGAACAATGAATAGAAGGGGTAGATACTCAGATGTAGACTCGATATAAAGGGGAAACTTCCTAGTATTTCAAGCATTCACCAAGGGGTCTATATGTCTCTTTCATTCTCTCTGTAGTTCTCATTTTCACATACTCTTTTGCATTCCCCTTCACTGGAATCTTTGAGTGAGGGCTAAATGACTTCTCAAGGATTTTGCAGAAGATCCCGCAGAGGGTGCGTTCATAGGGTCACAGTTTGAAAGCTGGAGCAGACCTTGATCTTGGGGGCTACCTAGTCCAATCCCCTCATTTTACAGATAAGGACACACAAGTCCCATGAGTTGTCCAAGGTCACACAGGTAATTAGCATAAGAGTTGGGTTGTAAACCTAGTATTCTTGCTCCCAAAGGCTCTCTGAGGTCCCTTCCACCTCTGAAATTCTATCTATTTCCCATAATCCTGGATGAAATCTCAAGGCAGCCTGACACAGCAGAGAGAACAGTAGACTAAAAAGTCAAAAGACATGAGTTCAAGTCCTGACTGATGCTGAGTAACTGGAATGACCTTAAGACTCCTCTGAACCTCACTGAGTCTCAGTTTCCTTCCCTATAAGATGGGGCAGTGGTAGAAACCTGGGACAGTGGAAAAAATCCTGAACCTTCAGGCCAAGAACCTAAATTCTAATCCTGTTTCTGTCACTTGTCACCCACGTGGTTTTAGGCAGGTCACTTAACTGCCCTAGGCCTCAGTTTCCCCATCTGTAAAATGAGGGAGTTGTACTATATGGCCTCCGGAATCCCATCTCTAGAGCTATAATCCCATGATATCATGCCCAAGAATCCTTTCAGCCCTGAAAAGCTCTGAATCCAACTCAGAAGCTCCTTTCTTCCCACTGGCTGCCCTTCTCTCCATGGCATGCTATTCACCATCTGCCATTTTCCCCTAGAAGGTGGGCCACTCTCCAGCTCTGGCCTTTCTAGGGCGGCCAGGGTGTTCACAGTGTTTCTCTTCCATCAACAGTTTCGTGCTATCAGCTCCAGATGTCGATGGAGAATCCATCAAGTTAAGCCCAACGAAGTCCCACCTGTCAAGCCAGGAGCTGGTTAGCAGCAGCATTCTTCCTCGAGGAGCGCAAACCAGGGAATATCCATTTTCCTTGCTGACACCCTGAGGTTGTAAGGCAGCCCGAGTGCTCGGGCCGTTTACATGAAGCCCATCCTAATTGCATAGCACTGCTCCGTAAAAAGAAGATTAGGCCTCATTATCCAGGAACGCATTTGGCATTTTTCTCCTCTGACTGAAACTGTTTAAAGTGCTGGACACTATCTCTCTCCCTGTCTATACATCAATTCCTCTGCTGTCAAAATGCCCCAGCCACATCCTGCCTTTTCTCAGGGTTGAAAATGTTCAAATTGGGTCAACTAAGAGGGGAAAAAATGTTATCATTTCACCAGTTCCCCCCCCCACCTTAGGAAAGGTTCCCCAGCTTTTCTGTCTTTGCTTTTCTTATTCTGAGTTATAGTAAAACCTCTGCTAACGAGATGGTATGGTTCTGGGTAATTTGATTTCTTGTCTTTTGTCTACCTCAAGGCCAAGAGGAAAAATCCTTTTAGCCCTACTTCAAAATCTTTCTAAAATATGTTTGGCTACTTTTCTGCCTTAATAATAAAAGCTAATATGATATATATGTATGTATGTATGCATGTATGTGTATGTGTATGTGTGTATATATGTATAAACACATACACATGTGTTTATATATGTATTTGTACTCACACCATACATATATGTAAAATGTACATATTCACCTATATTAACACATATATATGTATGGACTTTAATATATACACATACAATGTATACATATACACTGCACATATAAAGACACACATGTAGATCTGCACATAAATGTATACATAAGCATACATTCACGTGTGTTAACACACAATGTTTAGAAAACACATGTTTGATTAATATATGTGTTTACATACACATGTGTATATGTATGGAGAGAGAGAGAGAGAGAGAGAGAGAGAGAGAGAGAGAGAGAGAGAGAGAGAGAGAGAGAACAAGCATTTATTAATTAGTTTCTATGTGCAACTAAGTAGCTCAGTGGATAGAGCACCAGACCTGGAGTCAGGAAGACCTGAGGTCAAATCTGGCCTCAGATACTTACTAGCTATATGACCCTAGGCAAGTCATTTAACCCTGTTTGCTTCAGTGTCCTCATCTGTTAAGTGATCTGGAGAAGGCAATGGCAAACCACTCCAGTATCTCTGCCAAGAAAACCCCAAATGGGGTCATGGAGAGTCATACATGACTGAAAGTACTCTACAACAACAGCTTTGGGGCCACAAAGGCAAAAGATAATCCCTGTGGGCAGCTAGGTGGCACAGTGGATAGAGCTCCTGCCTTGGAGTTGAGAGGATCTGAGTTCAAATGCAGCCTCAGATACTTGACACTTACTAGCCATGTGACCCTGGGCAAATCACTTAATCCCAATCACCTCACCAAAAAGAAAAAAAAAAGATAATCCCTGCTCTCCAGCTGCTTATTGTCTAATGAGAGTGACAGCATACAGCAACCAAATACTAACAAAATATAGACAGGATAATTGGAGAAAATCAACAGAGGGAATACACCAGCATTAAGGGACATTGGGAAAGGCTTCCCATGGAAGGCGGGACCTTAGCTGACACTTGAATGAAGCCAGGAGGTGGAGAAATGGGGGAGAGAATCAGGAGAGGGAGTGTCTTGTTCGGGTAACAGCCCCAGGCCAGCTTCACTGATCTGTAAAGTCCATGGAGGGGGAATAAGGTATAGGAAGACTGGAAAGACAGGAAGGGGACAGGTTGTGGAGGACTTTACAAGCCAAACAGGATTTTCTATTAGATCCTGGAGGTGATGCAAAGCCACTGGAGTTGAGGACAAGGATGACATAGTTAGACTTATGATTTAGGAAGATCACTGGGGGGTGGACTGAATGGGGACCAAGAGCAGTCTATTGCAATGGTCCAGGCATGAGGAGATGAGGGCTTATATCAGGGTGGTGGAAGTGCCAGAAGAAAAAAAAGGGAGATGTGATACATTCAGCAGAAGATTAAATGGAGCAGCGAGGTTGTACAGTAGATAGAGCGTTGGACCTGCAGCCAGAAAAACCCGAGTCCAAATCCAGTCTCAGATGCTTCCTAACTGTGTGACCGTGGACAAGTCACTCCATTTGCCTCAGTTTCCTTATCTGTAAAATGGAGCTAAGAATAGCACCTTCCTCCCAGGGTTACTGTAAGGGTCAAATGAGATAAATATTTGTAAATCACTTAGCACACAGTAGGTACTATATAAATGTTAGTTATTATTCTTATATGGTGGGATGAGGAAAAAGGAGAAGTCAATGACATTTAGGATTTGAGCCTGGGGGACTAGGAGGATGGTGGTACCCTTGACAGTAATATGGAAGTTTGGAAGGAGAGATGCTTGGAGGGAAAGACATTGGATGAAGGGAATACTGAAGGTGATACTTGTCACAGTAAAGAGCCATCTAAGTTTGAGTCTTGTAAGAAGGTAGAAGTTCAAAACAGATTAAAAAAATAAAAAATTTTTAAAAATTTAAAAAAGAAGGTTGAAGTTCTAAGAGATGGGGGTAATGGGAGAATACCTTCCAGACGTGGGGCACAGTTAGTGCATCTGTGAAAATGAAATGCCAAGTGTGGGAAATGTGGGTTGTATAGAAAGGCATAGGGTGACATAACATCGAAGAAGTGGGTGCTCTCCATGAAAGGTTGGATTTGGTAATGGAAATAAAGCTAATAGTGATAACGGACAGTTCCATACATTACATTGTTATTGTTCAGTCATTTCAGACTCATCACGACCCCATTTGGAGTTTTCTTGGCAAAGCTACTGGAGTGGTTTGCCATTTCCTTCTCCAGTTCATTTTACTGAGGCAAACAAGGTTAAGTGACTTGCCCAGAGTAACAGGTAATAAGTGTCTGAGGCCAGATTCGAACTCAGAAAGATGAGTATTACTGACTCCAAGCCCGTCACTCTGTGCACTATGGCGCCACCTAGAGGCACCATCAAGAGGCACTCACTAAAGGGCTGAGTTGGAAAGTCACTTAATCATTTCTGTGCCTTAGGAAGATAACTTTGGCAGCTGATCTGAGGGTGGATCTGAGAAAGGGGAGACTGCGCAGGAGAAGAAGCAGCCTGCATAGTAATGGAAAATGTCTGCAGGAGAGGTGGTAATGAGACCTTCAACTAGATTGTGGCTGTAAGAGCAGAGAGAAGGGGACATGGACAAGCTATATTGAGGAGAGGTACTGTCTGGTTCTGTTTGTCTCAAGGCCAAGGTGAAGAAGTCCTGGCATAGTGGCTAGAGAGCCTGCCGGAAACAGTGGAAGTCCTGGGTTCAGGTCCTGCCTGTTACATTGCATATACTTGCCCAGAGCTGCTGTCAATTTGCATTAACAGGAGTTCACTGATTCAAGAATTCCTGATACCAATTATCACTAATTATCTCTTAATAAATATTTAGGTGCTTAATAAATGTTTATTGATTATTGGTGGGGTAGAACTGATGAGAAATACATTATTTGTAGTATTCAGTCTTAAAATAATCTAAATTCCTTTAACTTTTCCCCAGGAGACCTAAGTAAATTAGATTTGAATTTTATCTCCACCATTAGAAGGTGAGCTCCTTGAGGGCAGACTGGCTTGTTTTTGCTTTTCTTTGTATCTTCAGGCTTAACACCATTCCTGGCACACAATAAATACTAAATAAATGCTTATTTATTGATTGGCTCAAGAAAACCAGGCTGGCGTGATTTGGAGATGACCTTATAGCTGACCCTTTACTGAGTAATAGAGTCTGTGGTCTCTACTGTGGCAAGCCAAGAATATCCCTGGGATTAGGTAAACCCATTACATATCCCTTTCCCAAAACTGGCTCTGGTGAATCTACGGAAGCCCTTGAAATAAAACCATGTGAGCCTGGGGCTTTTGAGAGGTCAAGGACTGCATACATCACTTGTTCTGGTACATTCTTTTGGCTGCGTCTGGGCTGCTGAGATGGTGGGAAGCAGCCAGGAGGAAAGATAGGGGGCTACATCTGCTGGACACGCAACATTATCTCAAGCTCAACTTGCCTTCTATCGGCACTTCAAAGATCTATGACATCCATCTGTGTGGGGGCTCCCTCCACTGTAGACTCCCCCCCTCCCCATAGTAGATAGTCAGTCTTAGTTTCTACAGATGAAAAATTCACCACCAGCTGCCAGTCTGAGCGAGCCAGACTGGACCTTTGATAACACACAGACAGCCTATTCCTCGGGGACTTAGAAGCCCTTAATGCAGGTTCATCTGCTTGGGAAGCCTTCCAGAATGCCGAATCAGATGCACACCACAATGTGCATCAGACTGGGACTTGAGTGGACAGAAATGAGGAAGAGCTTGTCTAGAAAGATCAATGAGCATGTGCCATATTTTTAATAAAATCAGCCAAGTTAATGGCCATCAGTGATTTTTGTTAAATGAGCAGGCTGTGTGTGTGTGTGTGTGTGTGTGTGTGTGTGTGTGTGTGTGTTTGATAATTTAGTTGCTAAGTCAACAATTTGTTTACTGAACTGAACTGTCTCCATTAGAAGCACTGCTAGAACTGATGCATGGGGTGAAGGGGAAGATTGTGTTTTTGTCTGCTCTTAAGTTCCCAAGGCTGTTTTATTTTTAAATTATATTTTCTGCATGTGGTATTACCTTCTAAAGAGAATATTTACACATATAAGCCATCAGACTGAGAATACATGATTGAATAATAGATTGATTATTAATGGATATGACAGTTCAGGAGTGCTCTTTCCAAAGTTACCAATGGCCTCTTAAAGGACTTTTCTTAATCTTCATCCCACTTAACTTCCCTGAAGCCTTTGATACTGTCAATCATCCTCTTCTTGGGGCAGTTAGGTGGTGAAGTGAATAGAGCTCTGGCCTTGGAGTCAAGAGGACCTGAGTTCAAATCTAGCCTCAGACACTTAACATTTACTAGCTGTGTGACCCTGGGCAAGTCACTTAACTCCGATGGCCTCACCAAAAAGCAAAAAAAAAAATCATCTCTTCTCTTTGATACTCTTCTTTCTCTAGGTTTTTGTGACTTTACTGTCTTCTGATTCTCCTCTACCTGTCTGCCCACTCCTCAGCTCCGTCTCCTTTACTGGATGGTTAGGGTTAGGGTTCCAACTCGGACTCTAACACTAACCCTCCAACCCTAACCCTAAATGCCTCTGACTCTAACTCTACATGCTGCTGACTCTATCATGTCCAGCTCTTGCCTGCTAACCATTGGTGTCCTCCAAAGCTTTGTGCCCTCTTCTCTTGTCTTCTGTGCCATTTTATTTGTGATCTCATCAGCCCCCATGGATGCAATTATCATCTATGCAGACAATTCTTAGATTTATTTGACCAGCCCTAACCTCTCACCTCTCCTCCAGTCACATCTCTAGCTGTCTATTGGACATCTCAAACTGGATGTCTCATACATCTTAACCCAG